CCCCGAACTTGTTTTGCGATTCGGGCTTATGGAAGGGGGTCTCAACAATAAATGCGGGTGGTGGCGGTAGGCTAGGTCCTAGGTAGTGCAGCTCGTAGTACCAGTAGTACAAGTGAAAGGAAATCTAATAAAATCGGGATATTTCGGGCCGGAACAATGTATTATTGCCACCCCTTTATTATTGCGATTTGGACCTAAGTAGACCTTGTTGGGCTCAAAACTTGTTAGAACGCAAATTTGATTGTGCGGGATTTTTCCGGTCCGGTGACAAAATGCTATTGCCACCCCCTTTATTAATGCTATGGTCACATTACGAGTAATCCCGTCAGTACTTTCAAAGTTAAGTCATATTGCGTTGAGACGTCTAAGGCCTGTGACTTCACAAGTTGAAGTGCATGCAGTGTGCTTCGACCTACCCATACATTCCCAAAACTTATACATCCGAGAAGGGATGTGGACAATGGTTTTGGAAGAAAGCAGCTCCGACTGAATTTTGTAGGCTGGTTTTGCTGCTAGTGCGGGGCCCTCGCCGGCAGGCCTCAAGCAGCTTGGGTTCCGGCCTTCATATGCAGCACGCGGTACCGGCAATGCGAATGCGTGTCGCTGCCGCAGAATATGTGCTTGTGGATCCGAGATTGCAGGATTGAGGTTGCGGGTTTCTCCACGCAGCTATCAACGCGGCGGGATTTTGTGTTGGGGCCGGTGCGCAAGTCCACTTGCTTTCCGAGGCGCATCCTGCGAGACTTGGTCTGCACGCGGACATGAAGACATGAATTCTGAATCCAGCTACTTCAGGTAGAGTATGTTTAGGCATTGAAGGTATGAGAACAGCTTTCTGCTTCGGAAGTCGCATCATATTCGCTCAGCATGACACTCAAGCTATACCTTTGAAGTACGTGCCGTCCGACCATAGGATATATAGCTATATGCATACACATAAATACCCTGCAGCATGCGCACCAAGACTACTAGTGACACTCTGGGATGCTGCCTGTGCAGGGAAGTGTCATTCATGCGCGTGTTGGAACTACTCTAGGCAGACGGAAAAAGTACGCGCCAATGACTTCTGATCAGCAGCCAGACTTGTGCAGGTGTGAGCTGGTCAACTTAAATTGTCCGCTGGCAATTGCCTTCCTGCAGCTGTAGGATACGTTCTTGAGCGGAACACATCTTTGGAGAGCCTCGACTTGGATCACGCAGGAGCCATTTTGTGCCTTGGTTGTTCCAGTCATGGCAGTGTTCTCAACATCTTCGAGATGGTAGTGCGACGGGTTGGCGAGGCCCATCGTAAAGAATCTGAGAAGCAGACGGACAGAAAAGAGCAGCGAATACGTTTCAAGTGGGTCGTCGCTGCGCAGGAATAGACAGCGATGGTGTTGCCGACCTCTGCGAGGTCCTGCTCCTGTGCGCGGGTATAAGCACGGGCGGACTTGCACAGACAGCTGCGTGCATGAGATGGTGCCTGACAGCAGGGCCTGCGCCGGAACAAGACGCTGAAGATTTTGAGCCTCAGGCCAGCCGGGAGCCTTGCAGAAATCACCAAGTGCTTGCAGATCGGCATTCTAATTCTGTGTCTTTTCAAGCGGAGATCTCGGGAGAGCTCTCATTTTCAGCATTTGCTACAATTGTAAGCCTTGTCTCGCGGAGCTGGCATCCCATTGCACAACGCTTGTCTTCTAAGCTCTAAAAGTTAGCCAGCATCCACGCGGAGCCAATGATTGACCGGATAAGAGAACTTTTGTTTCAAGGTGCCTGCGTAAGGAAACAGAAAGGATGCTGTGGGTATGCCAGCAAAACGACTGACAAATCAGAGGTCCCCTCTCAGCCTGGATTGTGTTGCTGTGTGCCCCGACCTTTGCCCGCTGACATCGCAGATGCCATGACTGTGCCTGACAGGGGAAACTATCTCGGCCCCAAGGCTGGGAATGGCCCTTTTTCATGTTTGGTGGGCGATGCGCGGGTGCTTCACATTTGTGCTTGGCGTTTCGTCTTCAGAAAGCTCAGCTTGTCAGTACAGCAGCAGACTGCACTGCCGGACACTTCTACTGAGGACTTAATCTCTAGATTACTGAGGTCAAGCGAAAGTTGCCCAAAGTGCTTTAAACATAGCACATCAGCTTAATCCTAATTCCTCCTTTCCAGAAACTACAAGTACCTCCACATGATGGCAGGGCGGTCAGCTGCTCTCCAATTTGGTGGCAGAGCTGCTTAGTCTTAGCATTTGTGATCAGCCGTGTAGGGCCGCAGGAGTGCACTGCATGGTTTGGGTATGAAGCTGTGGATCTGCACACAATGAGACACCAGGCCATGCACCAAAGTACTCTTGGATTGACTTGCGGACTCGGATCCCCCTCGCCGGAAGCCGAATCTAAGTCTGCCCTTGCGTCTCAGTTTGAGCAGGTTAGCAATCTATGGGCTCCTTGACCTCCCACCCCCATTTGCGGCCTCGAACCTCATAATCACAAGTAGTGAGAGCTCAGTTAGATGTTTTTCTGAAACCCGCAGAAGTTGAAAACCTTGCGAGCTGAGGCTGCTGGATGAAGCTGGACCTGGAGGTCCTTCCTCCTCTCTTCATGCTTTCCGTGAGAACTCGTTCCATCATTGTTATTACTTACAATATACCACAACAATGCTTGCTCTATGTAGCATTGCTAGCTGCTGCTACAACTGCTCTGCAACTCGCTCTGCCTTCCCTTGGGCTGGGCAGTGGCAGGACCTAGCTCTTACTTTTTTCAAAATAGCAGGCTTACTGGTGGTTAGAAGGGATGAGGGAATATATAATCCCTACATCCCTATCTGAATACATGCATACCCTTATTCCCTGCTAACCCCCAGTTGCCGGTTTCTTGGGAGTAACTGTCTGGCCTGTTCCCAGGCTCTACCAGCCTTAGGCTGCTTGACGTCTCAGCCTGCAGCTTGGCCTGGAGAAGATTCCAACAACATGGAGTCTTTGAGTCTTTTCTATATGGGTCGAGATACATGACGAGTGCGCAGATGCTTTGCATCTGTGAGATGGCCCATGTTATTTGGAGACCTCTGTGCCAAACAGCATTCGTTGACAATTTGAGGGCTAGAAGCGGACATTGCGTTGAAGCGCGGCAAACACGCATGTGGATCAGTTGTTATACAAAAATGACACGGCTTTTTTGAAATGTAATTGTGCTTTTGTCAGTGAACGAAAGAAAGTTTACGTACCGTCAGACTGAACAACGGGTGCGCATTTTGGCCTGCGAGCTTGAGCAGTCTAGTGTACGCAGCCACATTTTCACGGCGAAGGCGTCTGAAAACGGACTGCAGCCTTGAGGCTCCATTGGCTCCGGCTGCGTGCGTCAGCTGGCCCAGGCTCAGCATCAACGACTACGAATTGCTCCCATTGCTACTGCTGCTACTGCTGTTACTGCTGCTGCTGCTACTACTACTACTACTACTACCATTATCATTGCTACTACTTCTTCTTCTAATTTTACTTTAGTTCCACCAAAATAGCAAAACAGAAGTGCTCCTATTACTACTACTACTACTACTACTACTACTACTCCTCCTCCTCCTCCGCTATTTCTATTACTGCTATATGAGTGCTGCCAGCAACATGCTTGAGGTGGTCGGCATTAAGTCCATCTACTCGCGGACGGTTGCCTCAACTCAGCTCCCTGGCCTAGAGAAAGAAGCTTCTAATGTGAATTCTTAAGACAGCTACGTGTATGTACGACAAAGAAGATGCTGCCAGGGTCTTCGCTACCTTTTCCAGACCACCATGTGGCTATTTCCGCATGTTTTGCAACATGAGTCGCGGGTTGCTTTCCAGCTGAAGCCTTCCGCAAGCAGATTGAAGGCAGGGAGCACCTCTGCTAAACGTGGCGGACAACTTCGAGACGGAAGTGCCTAGCTTGATGATTGACCGCCTTCACCTACTACTATAGTAAGTCGTAGCGGGCTGTAATTCGTGCACTTCGCATCCTGACTTCCTGCATGTACTTCATGCATGTGACATGCGTCAAAAAACTCCAGAAGCTGTAGCACATTGAAAGCTTTCGGAGCTGCCCAGGAGCTGTGGAATGCCATCACGCACGGTTTTATGTTCTTCCTGTGTCTTGGTCTCTCAGATCAGGATTTGCTTTTGGTGGTGTAATGGGTCGTTCAGAGACTACTTCGTGGGAGTGAAGGCTGATAGAAAGAGTTGGGGCATGCTGAACTTTTTGTGCCGCTTGCAGCAAAGTAGGCAGATGTGCGATTCATGGATTGAGCGCCAAGGTCACTCTTCGGGACAATCTACCTTCTATACCAGGCCCTGTTGCATTGTCAGTCCTTTGACGTTGGCTCCTGAGCCCCTGGTGAATTTCCTAGACTTGCATTCTAGAAGTTTCATCCGCAGTACCAGAGTCCAGATGTAGTTTCATCTTTTGCATCTGGGAATTCTGATGCAGACCTGACAGGTGGCAGATAGTCCAGTGCACCACATCTGGGGCACTGCGATCTTTTGCTTTGGCCTCATCTTTTGCTTTGGATCCTCGACATTGCCCCTTGGACTAGCAGAGAGGCCCTGTGTAAACCAGCTTCGCAGTTCGCTGGCAATGGATAGAGCAGATAGCTGGAAGGGTCCTAGTTACAAAGCGCAGCGCTGTCCCCTAAGCCTTTTTTTCTGTTGCCCAGAGGACGCAGCTCATGCACACATTTTGTGCCTGTGCGGACACACGGCTTCAAGCAACAGTCATGACTTTGATTTTGCCGACATTTAAGCAATCTTAGTGGCGGTGGCACTGCATATTCTGTTTTCGCCGCAGGCAGGAACGTAACAGGAATCAGCAGCCTAGCCCGCACCCCGAGAACCCTTTTTTAGCCGCTTGTTGCTTGCTGAAAGAAGTTCAACTGCCTTCGCCAGAGCTCTCATAAGGTGCCCGGGCAGGATTAGGCATTTTCTTAAATAGCAATGCGGATCCAAGCGCATCTCGACGAACGCTCATGCCTGTTTGTGCAGGTATCACTCCCTGTTCCTGTACCCCATGGCCGCGCGAGTGCTACAGGTGCTGGACCACGCAGCGGCTCGGAGAGCAATGTCACCAAGCCTGGCTGTTGCCCAGCGATGAACGCATTAAAGCAGAAGGTTCAAGGCCAAGGAAGATCGTACAGCACAAGACGAACATGGCATAGTTACGTACCTTCCAAACATCAGTATTTTACGCTTTGTCATCCCTTGAGCCATCCTTCATATACCTTGTTAGTCCTGACGAGAGTTTGAGTACTGCCCGGCTGCTGGAGGCAATTTATTTTCTCATCGCTGGAACCTACACGCCTTTCCTTCTCTTCTACTCGGCAGCTTGGTCAGCATGGAGCAGGCAACATGGCAGGTCCATCCAGTTCGCTCCACGCCTGGTTGCTGGCAGTTGACGCATTTGCAATGCAGGTAGCAATGGCCATCCTGCCTCTCAGCCAGCTTGTTGCAAGCATGCAGCATGGACTCTGCTTTGTCAGCCAGGGCAGAATGCTTGTAACCTCGGAGTCTGCGCAGACAGTCTTCCGAGCCCTCCGCAACCCACTCCGCCCCGAATAATGAAGTCGACAGCACGGCCGCGCAGCTGGGGCAACGAAAGTTGCTCGTAAGGACACCCCGATGCATGCAGACCTGCTGAAGGCAGCATCTTGCCCTGAACGTGTTTATAAAGTGGCTTGCTGCTCCTTGATCTTGCCCATTGGAATGTGCGGTTGACGGGATGATCTAGAAACAGGTTAACAGCGTAGGTGGTATTTGGCATCATGCTTGGTTGTAATCTCGGTGGTCATGAGCGAGTCAAAACCAAAGGCTTGTAACAAGGGCGGGCCCACACTCGCGACAGACCCCATTTATAATGGGTATGTAACACGGGCACGCCTGGCGCGACAAGCCCCAATACCATGAGTATTCGAAGACAAGCATGAAGGGGATGGTTTTGACTCACACCCAAGTAGGCCCTAGCAGCCGCGCATGGAACTTGCATTTTCCACGATGAGTCAAGCATTGCCAGCGTTGCCTGTTGCATGTAGTGGGTTGCAAAGAGTGGGGAGCATTGGTACGCCCTCAGTGCGTTGGCTTGATTTTCACGGTTGCCATCTAAGGAATGGATCCTTTGCTGGTTGGGCATTGTCACACACATCTGCTCCCAGTACTTCGAGTGGGGTAAATCTGTGCTTAGGATGCACTGCAATCGCAGCATTGGACGTCCACTCTCTCAGTGGCATCAGCTGTAGGGTCATCAACTGCGCGAATCCATGCCCATGTTTCAGGGCGGCGGCGTTTTTCAAGTTGACCCCGAAGACTTGTCCTCTCAATCTTTCATGCCTGGTTAAGGTTCCCGCAAGCACCCGCTGCACCCAATTCCGAAACAAATTGCCCATCTTCGAACGACAGTAAAGTAATGAGAGCAAGATTTCCCCTCAAGGGAGCGACCTATGAGGGACTGCAGACAATTCGTAAGGAGTTCCAATGGTTTTGGTCCGAGTTCAGGTCGCAGTAGCAAGCGTTGGCCAAATACAATAGTATACAATAGTGTTAAGCTGTCAGCTATGTACCTGGCTGAGTACCTGGCTGAGATTCGAGAGATTCTGCTGCAGGTGAGACATCGTTGAACGTATCAGCAGCCGGTAGAAGAACCATTTTGACCAATTGCATTATAGTTGCATGTGTATCAATGGCTAGTGATGCCCGCCGATACTTCTACTTCTTGTATAGCTAAGCAGCAGTTTTAGGTTTGAAAGGATTTTGATGGAAGTGATACTGGAACAGCCCAGGAATGCCACGTAGTCCGCGTAGGCACGGTAGTAACAGTGTGTCCGCATAGTTCGTTCCGTTGGGAAATTTGCAATCCGAGTAGTTGGCGCAGGCATTCCATGTCAGTATAAGAAATTGATCTGATCAACAAATGGTTTAGCCGCGCCCCCGAAACTATGCTCAACTGTTGAAAAAGGGCGCCAGAAGCAGGTGCCTTACCTCACTGGCGAGCTGCTGCTTTACTTGGCTATGGGCTGGGCAGCAGTTCTAGCATGGGACCACCGGGCTGATTTTGAGAACTTAGGGAGGTATAGGGGTGCTTCACGTGTTCCAAAAAGAATTGTGGTCAGTCAAGCAGCAGCCTGGCCAAACGACACCAACCATGATATTGTGGTGAGTGTCAGCCTAGGATTGCGATTGAAGTCTGTTGTTTGGTTTTCTGAGTCCACGGGGCTTACGAAGTGGCCGAGCCCAGAAGCCTCAGCCTGGCACGTCAAGTTCTCAAAAGTGCCACACGGCAATGTCGGGCCTGAAGCTTTCCAAGTCTTAGCTCATCTCAGCTACGAGCATGGCCAAGTCCTGTATGATTCATGACGAGGATCGGCTGAGCAGACCGACTGACCCTATGCCAAATGTTGACATGCTTGCAAATGAGCCGCCTGTGCCAGAATACGCAAGAAACAGCAAGTGTAGAGAAATGGCCCAGGATACCTTCATCAATCAGCTTCCTGGTGCCTGCTGGTCCTGGCTCATGGCCGGGGGGACCCCTGGCTGGATATTCATACAATTACCAGTTCACTAAATGGCACACTGGTCATTGCTATTATTTTTTTTGCGTGCGTGACCTGTTGGATTTGACTCATGACCAGCGGTCGCAAGACCGCGCCGGGATAACCTGTGAGCTTTGAGAATACCACTCAGCTCTTAAAGCTGCTTGTGTGGCGATGATCAGTGTCGGCCTCCATTGAAGTGCCTGCGGAAACGAACGGGACCTCATCTAGACTCTAAGATTATCAGTTGCTGCCCAAGCCTGGTGGGTGCTGGAAGAGGTGGGAGAGATCTGCAAATTTGCCCTTCCGCTTCTGATCTTCTACTATGTCGCACCGTGCTCACACAATTTGTAGTCAATCTGCGTGTGGTTAAGGGGCAGACAAGTGGCCCTCAGTCAATATCATGTCCAGATTCGGGATGGTACAGCATCTCGTGAGCATTTTGCCTGAATCCCCTTGCAAACCTTTATACAGAGGTGATCCTACACATCAAAAGTCATCAACAAGCCGCCCAACCTAATGGAGCAAAGAGATCGCACTCGGCTAAGGCTGCTTTACACAGCCGGTGTGCCCTTCTTCGTGCTTGCAGACTACCGGTGGGAGCCCTACGCATGCAGCCACACACATGGACCTTTATCAGCTGAGAGCTTTGCAAGCCAGAAGTGATTTCAAGCCGGCCTTTGCTTGTCGCGGCTGCTTAGAGATGGCATTAGGGGACTCTTTCTCTTGATCGAAGAGAAAAATCCAGAACTCATTTCAAGCCGGCCTTTGCTTGTGGCGGCTGCTTAGAGATGGCATTAGGGGACTCTTTCTCTTGATCGAAGAGAAAAATCGGAATTCGGAGATTGCCGTGGAACTAGCCTGGGTTGCAGACATGGAGATCATGAGTCCGCAAGAGGCACTTGGCCTGTCAAGCTGGTCCATGCTTCTTGTTCCACAACGCTTGAAAGGCCAATCTACCACGTGATTTGGCATCTCTTTGTTGCTTTCGCCGCCATCTGCCACTGGTTTGTCCAGGCCTCAGCTTATGACCCTGCGCATGCGCTCTCGTGAGCTGCATATCATTTTCGGCCATTTCCTCAATTAGCATGCTCGGTCCTGCTGTTATGCAGCATCGATGGTTTCAGTGTTGGAGCTCTGAACTCTCCATCGAACCCTGAACTGTTTACACGGCAGACCCCTTCGGCGCCACGCACTGTAAGACAATCCTCCTACCCTTATTCAGTCGCCCCAAGACCCCGCAACAACACAACAGACATTGAGGCGGTCAAGGAAGCAGCGCTGGATGCTCGGCTACACCACGCAGTAGGGCCCTTCGGGCCTTTCGAATGGTGGATCGAGCCCTGGCCGGCAGAATGTGTCGAATGCTATAGATTCTGGCATCTCAGATTTGTGTTGAATGGCTTTGAAGGAACGCTTTCACGAGCTGGTCAACGAGACGCAAGATCATGGACTCTACAGGTGGCCGAGGGGCGTCACCCTTCCGCTATCTTCAGGTAGAGCATGTAGATTTCTCCATCGCACATTTCTCCGGAATTTCTCCATCCCAAATGAAGCCACCATCAGTCAAGCAGACGCAGGCTTGATCAATGTGTTCAGAAACTCAAGTGCTGCCAGGACGCTTGTGGACCACATGAGCTTGCTTCCCAACTTCACGGCGGAAGTCAACAGGACAATTTGCACTGGACGTGCGGGCCAATGCATACCAGCTTGAATCGGCCCGCTCTGCAAAGAATCAGTCGTTGTGAGCTTCAGCAGTTACAAACGACACGTGGCAGAGTGCACGAACGTTGCCAATACGGCCTGCTCTTGATTCGATCGTGGCGTTCAAGCCTCTAACCTCCAAGGGGGGTGGCAGGGTGTGTGCTGTGGATATCTGGAACCTGGTGCCCGGGCTTGTGGCCATAAATCTTTCCTGCAGGTTTTGGCGCTGTTGGAGGTTTGCTCGTGGATTGCCACACAAATCTTAATGCAACAACTTAGAAATTAGGAAGCCAACCTCTTCATACTGTGTTTTTGCAAGAGTTGCCCTTTGATAGGTTCCGGATATCCAGAAATAATATTGTTCAGGTGCACCTTTAGTCTCGCGACACCTCCCCTGTACAGGAGCGCAGCGAGAATCATGAGGAATAATCGTTTCTGCCATGCTTTTGTGTCCATGAGCGCGTAAGTCCATGGCGCGGTTGAATTTTGACTTACCTGAGAAGACGGCCCTGGCCCGCAAGCGTGATGTTTAGGCTCCACTCAACGATTACCTATCCTCCCGTTGCAATTTTCGGACTAAGGCTAACGATGGATGATGCGGAAAGGTGGATGCTTGGATGGACATTTGAAGCGGGATGTACTCGGACTCCTGCAATAGTCGCCGAAATGGCAAAAAGATGCTGGTACAGCCAGCGCATGCCGCTGCATGCATGAGGTGACACGTTGCGTAAGAAATGGCAGAAGCCTCGTCCTGGGGTGTCGGAACTTCTTTCAGCTAGAAGGATCTACAGTGCAGCTACAAGTCACCGCAAACACCCACACATGTCGCGACCAGCCTTGCGCGTGATTGTTCCTTGTAGTTTCAGTTCCCCTGTACCGGCCAAGTATATTCACAAAGGAATGGCCAGGGCGACTTGATGCACTCACCATTCTCGCGCGAACATCTCAGCTTAGAGAGGCTTGGCAGCACTCAATGCCACCGTCGAAACCTGCAGTTGTTCTGCAGCAAGCTGTTGTCGTGTTCGGAGGGCTATAGCATTTTTTAGGGGATGTTGAGAAGACTTGTGCACCGTTTACGGCATGTTTACGTGGTTTCGACATCAATTAGCTCTCTTTTTGCTGACGGCTGCTTACTGCCCAAGAGCTTCCCAAACACCCTGTCGCATAGCATTTCCCATGCCAGAAGCCAAGAAATCTGTGTTCAGGACAGGGAGCAACAGACAAAGCACCCAATCTAGTGATGGCAGCTGGAGTTGTGCCTGACTGAGGAAGATGGACCCAGTGACGCTCTACTCAGTGCCATCCTCAGCTGAAACATCACGCCTAGGGAACTCTACGTCTGGATTTGCGTGCTTCTAACCAGTGCTTCCTCTTCTCTCAGCAGGCCACCTTTGGCTTCCAAGTCATGATCTACGCTGCTGAGAGCAAGATAGTAGCAAGCGTTGCAGCACAAGACGGCGAGGTCGGCCACGGCGACATGCTGGAGAAGGTCTAGCAGTCTACTGTAGCACCCAATCTCTGTCATGTTGGGCTGGCTCGTGCATCCGGCAGCTAGCTGAAAGATAAGAGGCGGGCAAATGAAGAGAGCAAATGGTACTGGATCTCTAGAGAACCCGCAGAGGTCATTTAGCTTGAGCATTCCGAATTTATTGCGTTTGCTCTAGTGCTGGAAGGACTTTTGGGAGATGTTGCAATGCCATTCCGTGAGGCATCCTGCGGGGTTACGGACTTGAGGATTGGTCAGGTTTTGCAGGAGATGATGAATTGATATGATTGGTGAGTTTCTGAACGGTTGCAAGCTCTTTGTGGCAAAGCTGCGGTTTGTTTCCATGAGACTGGAATTGGTTTCAACAAATTTTCGGACCTGTAATCCTACCTTGCAATTCTTCACCGGCAAGTTTTGCCTGACTCTGCTGCCTGCAGTCTGAAAGAAGTTGACAGAAGCACTCTGACAGAAATCCTGGGTGAAGGTTGATAAAGCTGCAGCATGGTGCGCACATTTTTTCAATGGGACGCACAGCAGAGCGCTCATCCGAAGTTGAACATTGTAAGTATGCAGATCTCGCTGCGTGTTTGCTGTCAGGGTGCCAAGTCCCATCGCCCCTCCAAGTCCAAGCCAAGAAAGTCGTCATGCGCAGGGTCCTGTACGACATTCGGCCAACCGATCACAGGCACGGTGATTCACTTGCACAGTGCCGTCAGCTTCTTGGGGGTACAGATCCTATCTGATTGATTTCATGAGAGTTGTTAGCTAAAGCTGACACGCAGCAGGAAAACGCGCTGTTCAGCTCGTCTCATGAGAGTAAGAGCACACTCGTATAGGAACAAAGAAATGGCGGTGTTTCTGAGTTAAACCTAGACTCGAATTCCTTACTCCGTCCAGAAGCGGCTAAGTACAGATCTCCAGCAGCTATAGCACAAAACCGGTCAGCAGTCGGTTTCTTACACTGGCTTCTAAGACTTGGGAACGGCCTGATCCTTCCCCTGTCAAAGACTTCTTGAGAAACTGTCTCTTCGTGAGGGGCGAGCTCTACTCCCGGCACCAACGCTTCTCAGTTTCGGCGCTGCGGATGCAATGTCAGGGCCTCAGCCCTTTAAGAGAAGTGCTGTAGGGCATTCTTGTGGACGCTCCAAGGCCGCTCGCGTGGGATCTTCTTCAAGTCCATGCCGGTGGGGCGTGAGGCTGCATACGGGACGCTGGCGCACATCAGGACACAACCAACTTGCACAGCTGGTTATTTATGTTGGGCTCATTAGGAGGGCTCCCAAATGGAATCAGCAAGAGTCGACGCAATGGGCTCCACACCGTGGTCATTTCCTTGCGCTGTCCGGGATATCTTTTTCAGTGGTTACTTGAGCCGCAAGCAGTTAAAGATGTCAGTGATCTGCAGAGGAGCGACGAGGGCCGCCATACCTTGGTGGAGCTTGCATGGCAAGCAAAGAGGCTAGATGGATAGAAGAGCAGCATATGACTTGTACTGGGCTGCGTAAGTATGCGGCAGAATTCTAGTGACAGCTTTGTGGGTCAGAGGTAGATGGGATGTTGTTTCCAAAGCTGAGCTGACAAGTTCAGTGAGCATGGATAGCTTCGGACCCAAAGAATGACACAGGCCAAGATTGCATGAAAGACCCGTTATGGCCAAGTGGGGAACTTGCCTGTCCGGTCTTTGCACAGGAAACGCACAGCCTTCATGGGTAGCCAGGACCTCGGAAGCGCTGCTCTTCTTTCGATTCTCATAGTCAAATCATTATCGAGCATTTCCACAAGAATGGTTGTAAATGGCTGTTTTTCGATGCCTTACATGATTCGTTTCTTGTTCTGTTTCATTGTTATTTCTAGCCTCCCTAACAGCTCAGGTGACGAGCTGTGGAACCATGCACGGGCCTCGAAGTAGAAAAGGTGGTAGGATTTCTTCGAGAAATCCCGTAAGTGATGACGTTATTTAGTTCCACAAGCGCGGCTAGGATTTGCGCAGGAATCTCCAGCTGCGTGTCACTGCGGTTGGTTTGTTAAACGCTCATGCAAGCAACATTTTTGGACTAGAAGTTCGGTGCACATTTTTGGGATGTGCAACTGGGATTTGCTTGACTGCATAATTATCATGAAGGTGCGCTTTGCCAACCACTGTGTGGGGGTCACACTGTGCCGTGTGGAACAGGGCTAGATGCACGAACTGTGCGGGGACCGTCCTCACTTGTTGCGTACTGTGCCTGGGGGTCTGTACATACAACCGAAATGCAAGGAATTTGTTGTTGGGGAGTCTGAGGCGTCTGATATTGTAGGCCGAGCCATGAGTAGAGCTGCAAAGGCTTTGAGGATTCTTTTGAGGAGCCCTAGGCCTACGCATGGCTGCGTAGAGCTTGAGAAGCAAAGGCTAGTAGACGGGACTTGCACAAGAAACAGTTCCGATCTTACAAGCTGTCCTGCAAGAGGTTCAACAAAGAGCAGGGGTAGCACAAGAGCACATTGTACTGGCCACGCAGCAAGGCGAAAGCCTTCGTCTCTTCCCTCCCTCTCTCTTTCTCTCTCTGGTCCAGAATCCGCTGCCCGTGACAATGTGCTGGGCAGGACAACCGTCAGGTCATAGCAGAGGAGCTGGCGAAAGCAGGCCAGTCGAGCACGTTCAGAGCTTGGGGCTTCTTTATTGTGACAGTGACAGCTGAGAGCTATGTAGGTATATATATATATATACATATTATATATATATACTATACATATATATATATATATATTGACCGCGGTTTCGGTCCTGTGAAGGACTGCGCGTAAATTTTCATGGCCTTTGAGGCTAGCATGATGGCCAGCTGTGTTTCTGAGGTAAAGATATTCGCAGAGCGGCCCCAACTTTGTCAACTGACGGGCAGATAGTAAAACTACTTCAAGATTTCTGCATACCTGAAGTCTGACGCTAACCAGGGCATACAGTGGAGCACGTTCGCAGTGACGGCTCGACTGAGCGCCATACACTGGGGTGGCGTGCTCAGATTGCAGCCCAGACAGATCATCAGGAAGCAGTAGGTTTTGGCGAGATTTCCACGCACAAGTTTCTCTGGAACCAGTGCATGGGGCGTTGGGCCCAGCTCAACTACAGAAAGCAGTGTTTCAGGACGGAGTACCCGGACTGGTTGGTCCGCGAGGAGGCATGCGGTCTTCTTCTGCACTTGGACAAGCTTGGCCCTTCTTGCCCTCTATGATGTACTGCCGCGGTGTAGTATGTTTGGGGAGGTGCAGCCCCAAAACGTGCCGCAAGTTAGCCGCACTAGTATACTGTCTAGGCCGACTGAAGCCATTCTTTATGAAGTATACCCCTACACTTCCCCCAGGCCCCTACCCCTGGGACCCTTTGACCCATGATATGGGTATGCTGTGTGAATCCTCGAGTTTGCTGCGGGTAAGGTAAGGTCTTGACTGGCCTTGACCTCATGTTTCCTGGAGGAGCGGCTGAAGTTGCTCGAGAAGAAGCGGCAGTCCGGTGAGGCTCTGCATGATGGTGTCGGTGTTTGTTGGAT